CGGCTCCAATCGATTCCTTCTCATGAGGTGCGGCGAATGTGGAGGCTGCGAATGCCAGCAAAAGCAGTCCGTATTCCTTCCATTTTGGCCGCCAGGCCATTCTCATCGTTTGTTTTCGAAGCTCACCACATGAACTTAATGAATATCACGAGGAAATGAGACCCACGCAGGCGACCCCTACTGCAGGGACACGGCTGCAGCAGGGAAAGGCAACTTTTTAACGGTTTTAAAGAAAATGTTAAAATGACAGCGTTCAGCTCGGCTAGTAGAGATATTCACTACTGCCGACTGAGACAACTTGTAAAACAGAATTAACGTGTGCAGTCTTAAAGACTGCCAACGGAGGGAAACAACCTTCCGGGGAAGTTTTATGTTACTGGGGGAATAGAGAGGGCCAATAGGAGTCCATGTTACAAAGGGAAGAGCAGGTAGGCGGGGCTTGTTCAAATGGGCTGGGCGAGGACGTAATCAGGAAACAAGAATTTAAAAAAAAAAAAAAGGGAAATTTACCTCGGTGGCAGAATTTGATGAGGTTGCATGGGAAATGATGAATATACATTTTTTTTAAAGAAGGAGAAGAGGGAACGAGGTTAGGGTGGAGAGAGAAAAACTTTGCTTTGAGGATATAGTATACTCATACATGCTCGCTCACGCACACACAAGCACTCAGTCGTACGCGGTTCAAAGCAACCCAAATAAAGAGAACAAATGCACAGGAGAAGAAAAGACAAACTGTCTGGATGTAAAAGATAACGCAATGGCGCACTGCTAGGCACTGCTAGGCACTGCTGTGTGAGTGTTTTACACATGCTAGGTCAGGCTGTTGCGAGGTGCTGTGACTAGTCTTCCCGTGAGAAAGATCTGATACTCATTTTGGGGTTTTCTGTCTGAGCATCTGCCTGAGGGGTAGGGGACCAACAGTCTGCATACAAATAGGCTAGATTTGTAAAATGGATATACTTATTCTTGATCACGACCAAAGGCCTAGAACTGAACGAACCACCATCACTTTCAGGCACAGCACCGTAATGTAAATGATTTCATAGGGCATTAAAAAAATCAAATGGTTTGGTCATCTGGTCAAAATGGAACAAAATCAGCCAGCAGCTAGAGCAGACTACATAAGAACAGCAGGCTACATAAGAACAGCAGGCTACATAAGAACAGCAGGCTACATAAGAACAGCAGGCTACATAAGAACAGCAGGCTACATAAGAACAGCAGGCTACATAAGAACAGCAGACTACATAAGAACAGCAGGCTACATAAGAACAGCAGGCTAATAAGAACAGCAGGCTACATAAGAATAGCAGGCTACATAAGAACAGCAGACTACAAAACAAGAGGCAGACCAAGACAAATATCGATGATGGAAGTAAAGGGAGACACTACAGAAACGCAATCTGAATATTAACACAAGCAACGCAGCCAGCACAAGACAGGAAAACTACAGCTAACTCCTCTCTGTGATGTTTTACGGCAAAAGCAGTTGAACAAAAGAAGAATAACGCAAAGAAGAAGAAGTAGAGATTCGACAAAACATCATGTCGCGACATGTTCCCTAGTCTCGGTGTGGTTAATGCCCCTGTTCTTTGTTGGGTGTGGTGGGTGTGTGGCCATAGGCTCAATTTGATACAACTGACTTTTACCCACTACAATATGTCTCGGAACGGAACAACTAAAGTCTTGATCGACCTACGACAGGAGGTTATCGACACGTAGGCGTGCTGGAAAAATGAGCTATTCCCCTGTGTGGGTTCCGGGCTACATGTGACTAACACTGATTAAACGGAGAGACAACTTGAAAACAGACTGGCAAAACATTTACCCAGACGCCCTCACTTACAACTATGTGATTCAGCAAGGATGTTAATAATAACCAAGACGAAAGAGCCACCTCTTCAATAGGAGGCCATTTGCACGAATCAGGACATGTAATTAACAAGGACAGTGCCTTATGTGTTATTTAGACACTGAACAAGCGAATACTGAATTTAGCCGAAGCTTTGGCAATCAAAATGAAAAATCTCCGCTAATGTAAACAGAAGGAGTGAATAATAAATTTGAAGTTCCTCTGTTAAGTCATTCGAGTATCGTGAAGTTCGGTGAGAGAGAGAGATGAAGATATGAGAGATGAGATCGATGAGAGAGAGAAAGAGAGATATGTGATGTGTAGTTGGTGGAATTAATTCAATTTTTCTGTTTCACTGTAATCTTTGTATGGAACATCTCCAAAGACTCTGGATGACGTGCGCATTAACTTTTAGGTGGCACGTGGATTTTGTTTTCAATGAATAGATCAAGCATGACTGTAACAATTTAGGTCAAGCTTGAACTGTAACAATTTAGACTAGTAATAATTAAAAATATGTGTTTTTTCGAATTTTAAAAAGTACTGTATACATTTTCTATTTATTTTTGTTTCATTTTACACAATATGAATGCATAAAATGGATGTACAATAAGTGTACAATAATGGCTAATCAATTACTGAAGCAGCGCCTTTTCTAAACAAGCCGTTCGACCTGCCTGTTTGGCCGTCCATATATTTATCTGTTTATCTTTCTATTTGCACACTGTCTTTGTCTCGCATGCACACACACAAGAACGAGGGTGTTTTTATGCTCACGTGCCTGCATGCATATATATACGTGTTGTCACTAAATTCCTACACATGTCAAGCATATCCCAAAATATGTTTGCCAGCAAACTGTTCGGACATGTTGCTACCTTCCTTGAGGAGGTTGGCTTCCGCAGGACGTGCGCTCCGTTTCTGCACACGTTGTATTTGAAGTTGATTTTCTAATACTCGTTCATTTCTCACTAATGCACACAAGCCCGCATACCATCCCACGCCGTAGATATTAAATGCACCAAAGATATTATTCAACACAACTTGCCACACTTCAGAAATAAAATAGAAAAGACAGGGAGTCAACAGAAATCTGGCAGTCAGCAAAGAAACGGGAGATGCCAGACAACTGCATTTCTGCTATAGGGAAAGGGCGGGGAAAAAAAGGGAGGGGGGGGGGGTGGTGGATCAGGAAACCGACCTACCCTCTTAAATAGAATTCTTATCTGGTAATGTTTCGCTAAGTCAGCCTGCTCTGGCCGTCACAACCATTATGTTCAAAATTCTTTCTTTCTTTCTTTCTTTCTTTCTTTCTTTCTTTCTTTCTTTCTTTCTTTCTTTCTTTCTTTCTTTCTTTCTTTCTTTCTTTCTTTCTTTCTTTCTTTCTTTCTTTCTTTCTTTCTTTCTTTCTTTCTTTCTTTCTTTCTTTTCTTTCTTTCTTTCTTTCTTTCTTTCTTTCTTTCTTCTCTTTCCTTTCTTTCTTTCTTTCTTTCTTCTCTTTTCTTTCTTTCTTTCTTTCTTTCTTTCTTTCTTTCTTTCTTTCTTTCTTTCTTTCTTTCTTTCTTTCTTTCTTTCTTTCTTTCTTTCTTTCTTTCTTTCTTTCTTTCTTTCTTTCTTTCAGTCTCTCATTTTTTATTCAAACAAAGGCGCACACACACACACAAATTTATGTACACAAACAGACAGAGTCAGGATAATGTCAGCGAAATAAAACATTCATAATAACAGTAAATGTAACAGCGGCTGCAGTAGTGGTCGCAGTAATGGTAGAAAAAAAAAAAAAAAAAGCAATAGAAGAAGAAAAGATACGAAAAAGAAAAAAAAAAAAGAATAACGAAGTTTCGGGCTGTGTTCAGTATTCTTGTCTAATGACCTTAATTCTAAATCTTTCCCTCTTTTTACGTAGTTTCATAGTTTTAATAATCTGTGTGAATTTTTAGTCTCAATCGATAGATTGATTTGGTCACTTTGCATGTGCAACCAATCACATTTCTTAATTTCCATTTCAAAGAGAGTTCACGGAAAGCGTAGTTTTGAAAATAAATAAATAAAAATATTATACAAAACACATTAAATGCAAACGTGCCATGTAAGGGAGTTCGCGTGTTTTTCACTTTAACAAAAAAAGCTAAGGGCGTGACCAAAAATGCATATTTGCTTGTGGAAGCAGTTTTGGCATTTTTTCTCGCCTTGTGTTTTTCTTTGACTTTGTTTATTACTACTGTGTTCATATTTTGCAGACAATGCATTTTTTCCCTCGTTTAAAACAATGAGCGTAGATGAGATAGACTATATATTTCGATGTTAGATTTAGTACAAATTCTGTTCTAGCTAATTAATGAGTAACACTGGAATCTGTGTGTGATTACTTATTATTTGTGTGTGTATTTTGTTTTTTCGTTGTTGTATTGTGCAAACTATAAAAAATATAAATGTACGCACTTCTCCCATGTTTCTATGTGCTTTCAACTGAGCACTCCATATGATATGTCATTTGTGTGTATATGTGTGGTGTATATGTGTGTGTGTGTGTGTGTGTGTATGTGTGTGTGTGTGTGCAGGTTGACTTCCGAAAGTGTGCGGAGAAGGAGGAGGAGGAGGTGAAGAAGCGGAAGACGAGAATGTTTTTGTTGATACTGTAAAAAAAAAAAAAAACAGAAATGCGAAAACAAAAATTTGTACATCGTTTATGAAACATGGCCACGTAATTAATTGTCTCTAAACATGGCAGTCAAAGTCAAAACTAATTAAAACAATTTCATGACACGTGGAACCTCCAGATACGAGTTTTTTTCTCAAGATACAAGGTCAGGCTCGTTTCTGGTTTTGCCCCAGAATACGAGGCGAAATCCAGGATGCGAGCTGGAGAGACGAAATCTCTGTGCGTCACCCGACATCATCTTAATCATATTTTGTCATGGATCACGCCAGTCTAACATTGCTGAAGAGTTGATTTAAGCCAGTCGACAAGGTACTTGATGATAATTGACTGTAGCCAAATGGTCGGAAGTAACCCCGCTTTCCGCTCCGGCAAAAACAAAAACAAAAGCATCTTTGCTCGTTAACGAAACTGGAAAGGTCACGGGTAGTGAACATACTTTGGATCCCAGGGATGCCGGCATGGTGGGTAATGAACAGGCAGACAGATTGGCTGGATCCGCACCACTGGGTGATGAACTGATACATGACAAGGTAGATGTGATCAAGAGCCAGTGGGAACAAGCAACAGAATCAGTAGAGAAAGAAGATTATGA